CACATGATCCGGAAACAATTTCTCTAAAAACTAAGGTGGAAATTGTCATTAGGCATGCTTTTATCCCTCTAGTAGAACTAAGTTTACTAAACATCTATAGTATACCAGGCTCTGAACTGGGTAATGAGGTATGTACAAAGGATCTTGCTCACAAGGAGCTTATATTAATTACTTGCTGAATAAGACAAAGTATACATAAAGTGCTATGAAAATAGAGAAGCCCTGAGTCTAACCTCAGAAATTGAGGCAAAAACTCCTGAAATACTTTCTTAAAAATAAGTTAAAGAACTAAGTAATTTTTTAAAAAAAATTTAAAAGAGGGACATTCAATTTCAGGCAAAGGCAGCTATGTTTGCAACACCTCAGTTGAGGGGGAGGGGAGAAGAAAGGGCAGAGAAGAGAGTCCAGCCTGAAAGGTGGGGCAGTAAATGAAAGAAGACAGAGGTGGCACAGTCACACAGTGGGAGGCATGCTATGCTTAGGAGCACCTGGGACAGTCTGATGAGGTTCTGTAAAGGGCCAAGCAATAAATATATAACTTTATAGTAATCTGACTACAGTATAACAAAATTAGTATACGCAAATAATAAATTATTTTGATCAGGCAAATAAATACCATCCTATCTTATAAGTTTGATTTCACAAACACTTTCAGAAGTGTTATAGGTGTTATATCAGTAAGTATTAAATGCCCCCTAAAAAATTATCATGCTTTCAAATTTAGGTTATGAAATATTGTCAGTATTACTGTGCACTCTATGGCCACATCACACTAGCTGAGGCTGACAACAAAGAAAGAACAAGACTATGAAAGATGTAAAATCAGCAACATCACTCAACTGCAAATCCTTCATGATTAAAATAGGAGTCATGAATACAATAGACACTAGTATGGCCCTATGTATAAATGTGGCTGTATAACCAATGTGATCCTGCAACCTGTTCACATGGAAAAATAAGATTACGTACTGCATTTGAATCAAATGTATGATATATCAAGATCGTTGTAATGTTTTGAGCAACTAATAAAAAATTTAAAAAAAAAAAAGAAGTCATGACAGATTCACAGAAAAAACAGTATAAGGACAGTTTATAAGGTATTGAGAGGTAAAAGCTATGGGGGAAGGAGGACAAGGAAGAGAAAGGAAGGAAACAGCTGAGCTAATATTTTTCCCTGTTCCTAAAGGAGATATTTACACGTGGGAAAACAGCATTAGAACATCAGGGGAAAAAAAATCCAAGACAGAATTTATCCTCCTTCTCTTCACAAGGGAACCAACCCAATGCCTTTCTACCTTACAATTCCATGTCCTGATTTTTAAAAATAATAATAATAATTTTTCATTCAATACAACTTCAGAAGTACAGCAACTTCAAACATATCAACAAGCCTAAAGCAAAAAGTTTAAACTGAACTAATGTAAAGTAAAATTAAGATTTGATGAGTTTAACCCTCTTAGAAGGTAGTGTTTTATGTACTGTGTACTACAAAATTTACTCTTATAGAAAAAGAAGAACTCTTTCATATGAAAAAAGTCCCCCCAAAAATTAAAAGCAAACCCCTGGAGCAGTGTTCATTTTTAACACTGTCTTTCCCACCAATATAATTCCAGTGTTGACATTTTCTTCTACCCAATATAAAAAGGTTGTTCTGATAGTTTTATAGGAGAAATTACAGAAGTATACCTTAAGATTTTCTTACATTTATCAATCGGAAAGAACATCCTTAAAACTGAGAGAAATCTGCAAGAGTATAGCAAGGGTTATAAAACATTTTAAAATTTACTCTAGCTTAAGAACATATGGAATTTGTTCCAACACAGCATTTTTTCAACCGCAAGAAACCATCAAAAAGATAACACCTTACTAAAACTGAAGACCTAGATTATAATACTAGTTCATAGTTTCGTAGAAAAGTATGAGTGCCAACATGACACTTTTAAAACAGTGAAAGAAAGCAGCTCATCAGCCATTTCTTGATCACTACAAAAATTTGTAAATATTGTTGCAATCTACACCAGAGAGTGCAGCTACTCTGGTAACTAAGGGCAATTTATTGTAATTACCATTAACAATTTGATATCCCAATTTGTACTTAGTATTTGGATAAAGATGATTTCATAAAAACAGGTGACTAAGTAAAGTGTTTCAAGTTTAAATATACATTTGTCAAAATTTGCTTATATTTATGGTAATCACATTAAATTCAATTAATTCTCTAAATCTTATTTTTTCCAAGGGCAATTCCCAGGAACATTAAGTAAAATAAATTTTCTCCCTGAATTTGTTGCCACTTAATTTCAGCTACTCATCTAGAGAACATGGCAAAATGAATGCTAAGAAAATTCTATAGTTATATTATCATCTATTTTCTCTCTGGTTCCTACTCAAATGTAGTGTAACTCCTTTGTCCAAATTTACATTCTGCCTTTAGAACCTGTCTTCTCTGCTCAGATACCCCTGATCAAGGAAAACAAACAAACAAATTCTGCTAATAAAGTTAACAGTTACACAGTAAACACTAAAACAGCAGTTCAATAATAAAAATGGCCAAAACAGCCAATATCTACATGTTTGTGATACAATAGTCCTGTAAGGGTATTATCATCCCTCTTTAACAGAAAATCAAAGCACCAAGAAAATAATTTCTAATAAATAAGAAGCCATGTCATTTTTTTATTCCTGTAAACAGTCACATTAATATTTGAGAATACAATTTATTTCCCCTTCTTCAAAACAAGTATGTAAATTAAATTTATGGTTGACTAAATAATGTGTTAATTTGATGCCTTTCAAGAAAGTATTTCACTTTAACAACTCAAGCAAACCTCCTTAAGTCATTTCTTGTATAGTTTGATTACAAAACTGCCTTTCAGTACATTAAACACAGAGGAAAAAGCCACAACCATTTCAACTTCTGTAAATTATCCTGACTGTAAATTAGGGGAGCCAGGCAGGTTGGGGAAGTATGGAAATCGCATACTGTCTGACCACCCCCAAAAGTGAACATCACTCCTCTCTCCCTTTGTGGCCTTTGCAAACTACAACTCAGCACAAATTCAGTATTTAATACAACCGAAAATAATAGCTAAATATCCTGCCCCCACCAAAAAAAAAACCCAAATGAGAAAATGACTTTAATATTTACTTATACATTCACTTCAAGTTGCTATTATCTCTATCAAACCCCTTGCACTTTATGTTCATACTTACAAACTAACTCTACTACACAGTCAAGGGAAATCCATTTATTCAGTTACAGAAAACCTCAAACTTTGAATTTATGATGAAGTCCAGATATTTTGCTGCCAGTGAAAGGGTCTCAAATGAAAGACAGGCAGAGATAATTTTCGCAGGTTCCATCTCAGCCAAAATTCAAAACCGTTTTACATGAAAACGAGGGAGAAGGCCAGATTACATTCACTAAAAGTTACAATAAGCAATGACCTGAAGTCGAAATTGCTCTCGACGTTCCAACCGTACACCACCGAGAAGGAGGTGGCTAAGAAGTTCCTGACCAGTTCCTGTGTAGACTGTAGGTCCCAGTCCTGTGACGAACGCTGGGAATCTACCCGTTTGACTTTCATTTTTTAATTCCTTCAGGATGTACCCCTGCTCGGATCTATCAAGCGGGAAAAGTAGCATTCCAAACACTCGAGCGACAAGATCCCAACTTCCTGGTTCTAAAGGAATGCGATTCCTTAATGACCCATCCCTGACGGAGCAGCAGCGAGGCCGCCTGGGCCGAGCTCCGGCGGGACGGAGGGGGCGAGGCCCCGCGCCGCACTGCGGGTCCCGGCGCCGGCCCGGCCCGGGGGCGCTCGCGGCCTACGACCCCAGCCCATTCTCCTCGGGCTGCACGGGCGAACCCGCCGGGCCTAAGGCATTCGGCCTCGGGGGCGCCCCTGGACCCGCCCTGCCGCGCCAAAACCCTGCCGGCCAGGCCGTGCTGGTCCCGTTCGGCCCCGGCCCGCAAGTCCTCTCCGCCCCACAAGTCCTCCCCGCCCCACCTGACCCCAGCACG